GCAGTAGCATATAAGATATAGGCAAATAGTGGTTTTATAATATTTTCGATGTTTTGCCTTTGTCTATTCATATGTAAATCATAAAATCATCAAAAGCACAAAAATTCATTTAACATCACAAACTAATTGCCCACATGCATTCATTATCTTAGAATTACAAAGTTGTCATTTTTCACAATGATGATTTATTCTTGGAGCTAAGGTCCTCAGGTGATGTAAAACTCAATAAAATTCTTTGAATGTTTTCCACATGAATTTTAGCTATTGATATTTTTCTTTTTGTGAATTATTATGAACAGGCAAGGGAGATAAAGAATTTTATTTGGAGGTAAGCTCCATTTTTATATTATTTTGTAGTTAAGTGGGTGCTTTCAATTAGACCAGGTAAAGCTACATTATATTCTCTTCTCCGTATCAATACATTAAATGGGCAGGCTATCAATGAAAGGCTAGCATATTGACATATCAGGGGTTGAAATGCTTGGAGAATATAAATTCACAACAGAATAAAAAAGTGAATAGCTTTGTCCATTACCTTAGTTATGAGCCGACTGGAAAGATAGCATTTTGCTAGTTAACAATTTTGATTTTGTGTGTCGAGATGCATAGAACTTAATGAGCTTCCAAAGCTAATAGTGGAGTCCAAAATCTTAGAGATTCAATTGCTCAAAACTTCCTAGTCAGATTTTATCGGTGCCACAACGACATCATCAGAGTCCAAAGGAGACATGTCGCCGGAGCCTAAAATAGCTTTGCTAGTCACTGTAGAAGCTTGTTAACACCATCTGCCCACTCTCAAGGAATAGGCATCCCTTTACAATTTCACCTAAAGGTAGAAGCTAGGGAGTTGGATTTCGAGCTGGGAATATCATCGAGCACCTAGAGTGCATTTTTCAATTCAATGGATAAATATTCTTTACTTTCTCATTTTTCCCATATTCTATTTTCCCTTTGTCAGCTTACCAATCCAAATTTCAAAAGTTAATTTCTAACCTAACTGATCAATCTTCCTCCTATATTAATGCCTTTGAAAGGCAGATTTTCCACTCAAATCAGTAAATAGTTTTTTGCCTGCAATTAACCGAAGATTGCTGGAGGTTTGCACTTAGGTTACATAGGTTCATACTTACTATTGGAGGCTATCAAAGGCCTCCCGAAATCTAGAAATTGCGTTCGTTTGTGCTTGAGGTTTGCATTTACCATATTAGAAGAGCTTCGTTGGAGCTTCAATTACCTCGAAAGCCAAATAAATGGTGGCATAATCGGTGTTCCTCCAGGTGCATTTTTCTTGTCCAAAAACTGGGAAACAACAACAGCAATTGACATTCCCAGAGGAAGAGCAAGGGTATCGACGTTAAAATTTATGAAATTCGTACTTCTCCGATTTGTGGTCGACCCAACTCAAAATTTTTTTAGAATTCTTCAAAATCTTGAGACCCTTTTATCTTCGAACTTGAACAAAAACAATTACTTGATGATGATACTGATGATGATGGTTGATAGTGACATTCCCAGCAGCCAGATCACAAAATTATCCCGACGACTATTTTTGATGAACTTATAACTCCAACTATGAGAGTCCTCGAGCATATGGCGGCCTTGTGACATTGTGCCCGACCACATCCCGCCTGGCTGCTTCGCATATTGCAATACTTGTCCTCGAGCATCAGAAGTCCTCGAGCATATGCTCCCCTCACAACCTACGATTGTTGACCATTTAGAATTCCTACGCAATTAGGACTCTTGACTCCCGCAAGGATTCTATCCCACATATAATTATGGAATTTGACCAACTCCTTAACTATTCAGGACTCCAACAGATAAGGGCATCCAGCTAGTTGAGTCCCACTAGGAGAATGTCGCTTACTACTATAAATACAGAACCTTGAGCCATTATTCAGGTACGTTTTTCATTGTTCTCCAGCATATAGCCTCATGCATATAATTCCCTTTCTGACTTAAGCATCGGAGGGGCGACAAGAACACATCTCGTTGCCTTTACTTCAGGTACCGAAAGACTATGATCGTGATCAACCCGAATCATCAACCTCGGAAAATCTGCAGGTACGAATTTCGGTAGCATCATTGGCGCCGTCTATGGAAAATGCTACCAAAAGCCATGGTTAACATGCGATCAGGTCTTCCTCCTGCAAGCTCATCCGTTCCTATCCCTCATCTTGTCGAAGATCAACCGGCTCCTCATGAAGAATCCTCGGGAGTGCCCTCACCTCTGCCAGCAGTCATTACAACCGAAGCCTTTGAAGAGCTGCGTCAGCAAGTGACCACACTCACGCAACTGTTAAGTCAAAAAAATTCATGGTTAACATGCGATCAGGTCTTCCTCCTGCAAGCTCATCCGCTCCCATCCCTCATCCTGTCAAAGATCAACCGGCTCCTCATGAAGAATCCTCGGGAGTGCCCACACCTCTGCCAGCAGTCATTACAACCGAAGACTTTGAAGAGCTGTGTCAGCAGGTGGCCACGCTCATGCAACTTTTAAGTCAAAGAAATTCATATCCGTCACCAGCGCAGGCAGAGTATGGCAGTTTTATGGCCGATGCTCAAGCACGACCACCAAACCCAGCAAATGGCAGAGTAGGAACCTCGGGTATTCATAATATGGCCTCAGGCTCGAGATCGGTCGCCATGGATTCCGGTGAAATTGCCTATATCATTCAAGAAGGATTTACAACTGGCCTGTAACGTAATGCTCGGGGGCCAACAGGTTTCACCCCTAACACTCCATTCACGCCAGAGATATTGACATATCCCTTGCTCGACAGATTCAAATATCCTCGCATTAAAGAGTATGATGGGACGACCGACCCCATCAACCATCTCAATGTGTACACTGATGTCATGAACTTGCAAGTTGCGCCGGATCAGGTTATGTGCAAAGCCTTTCCATGAATGCTGACTAATGCTGCTAGGGATTGGTTCTCGACATTAGAGCCCAACTCCATAGCCTCATTTTCAAATTTGGCTGATAAGTTCTCAGCCTTCTTTGCAAGTAGCAAGCGAATCAGGAAAATCGCGGCCTCTCTCATACAACTTCGCTAGGGAACAACCGAAACCCTGCGAGGATTTATGACAAGGTTTAACAAAGAAAGGCTTCAAATACCCGACCTCCACATCACAGCAGCTGTCTCCGCCCTCACTTACGCAGTAAGATGTGAAACTTTCAAGATGTCTTTATAAAAGACCCCGCCGCAGATAGTGACTGAGCCCCGAGCTGAAAAATACATTAATATAGAGGAAACACTAAATCCAAGGAGACCTGGTCCTTCTCATGAAAAGACCGAGAACAAGAGGCAACATGATCTCGTCCCCAGGCATGAGGTTCCTTGGGATATGCGCAGGAATGAGGCACCATCAGCACCTCTCACTCGGTTGAACACTTCTAAGACAAACATTTTGATGGAGGTTAAGGATATGAAAGAATTAAAGTGGCCTTCAAGGATGAAGTCGCCCCCTGACACAAAAGATAGGAGCAAGTATTGCGAATTTCACCGGGATCATGGGCATACTACAGAGGACTATCATGCTTTACAGCGAGAAATTCAAGCCCTTATCAAAAGAAGATTTTTAAAGAATTACATTGGTCATGATAAATGGCCAAGGAATGACCGTGACAATAGGAAAGATCCTGAGGCTGGAAGTAGTGCTCAACCCACTGCCGGAATCATTAATATTATCGTTGGGGGCATAGCATCCGGCGAAGACACAAGTAGTGGGCGGAAGCAGTATGCCCGCCAACATGCTCATACCCTAAGAGAACCCAGTGATGAAGTTAAAGACATCACTTTTGGTACAAGAGATTTGGAAGGAATATCATATCTTCATGACGATGTCTTGGTCGTTTCTGCGGTTGTGGCTAACTTCGAAGTAAGGAGGATTCTGGTTGATAATGGGAGTGTCGTGAACATACTGTCGCAGGAGGCTTTCACCAAAATGGGAATCTCTCCCAAACAGCTCAAAGCAGTAAAAACTCCCCTACAAGGATTTGGTGGTGGAATCATTATCCTTGAAGGCATCGTCGAACTCCCTCTTACATTAAGAGCTGGTAGTACACAAGTGACGTAGATCACGCCATTCCAAGTGGTTAACACCCCAATGGCCTACAACATCATTTTGGGAAGACCCCTACTGAACAAGATCCACGCTATTGTGTCAACTTTCCACCTCGCCATGAGGTTTCCCACATGTCATGGCATCGGAGTAGTTCGAGGAGACAAAACGGCGGCTAGATAGTGCTATGTCACAAGCATCCGAGGAATGAGTGCTGACATCATGCAACTCGTAGACCTCGAGCCAAGGGGTAGATTGGCCCTCGTTGAGGAATTGGAGGTGGTCGAGCTTGAGCACGGAAAAACCGTTACTATTGGTCGGGATCTGAAACCCAACCTCCGGGAGGAAGTCATCAGTTGTCTGTCCCGCACCATTAATGTTTTTGCATGGAAGGTAGGGGATATGCCAGGGATAGACCCAGTAGTAGCTGTCCATAAACTTAATATCAGCCCAGGGGCCAAACTTGTTAAGCAAAGGAAGAGGCAATTTGCGCCAGAAAGACGTGTGGTCATTCAGGAAGAAGTCGGAAAATTGTTGGGAATGGGGTTCATAAGGGAAGTCCAATACCCCGATTGGCTCACTAATGTTGTTTTGGTGAAAAAGACCACGATAAGTGGAGGGTCTGCATTGACTTCACAGATCTGAATAAGGCATGTCCAAAGGACAGCTACCCACTACCTAGGATCGATAATCTTGTGGATAGCACATCCGAACATAAGCTGTACAGCTTCTTAGATGCATTCTCAGGGTATCATCAAATAATCATGGCCAAAGAAGACTAAGAAAAGACTTCATTCATGGTTGATTCAGCCATATATTGCTATAAGGTTATGCCATTTAGCTTGAAAAATGTTGGGGTAACATATTAGAGGCTCATCAACAAAGTCTTCGTCAATTTGATAGGGAAGAACATCGAGGCCTATGTGGATGACATGGTTGTAAAAAGTAAGAAGGTAGAGGAACATATGTCCGACCTTGAGGAGGTGTTCGCCACCCTACAAAAATATAAGATGAAGCTCAACCCAGAGAAGTGTGTATTTGGCGTAGCTTCAGGAAAGTTTCTGGGTTTCATGATCACTCATCGGGGGATTGAGGCTAACCCTGACAAGATTCAGGCTCTGGCAGCAATGGAATCACCAAGGACTAAGAAAGAGGTTTAAAAGTTGACAAGCAGGGTAGCCGCCTTAAACGGGTTCGTGTCCCTAGCAGCAGACAGGTGCTTCCCCTTCTTCAAAGCCCTCAGGGGTAATCATTGCTTTGAATGAAATGAGGAGTGTGAGAAGGCTTTTCAAGAGCTCAAGCAGACATTGAAATCTCCTCCTATCCTCACCAAACCCGAGCTCGGAGATACTCTGTATTTGTACTTAGCCGTATCTCAGAATGCAGTGAGTGGTGTCTTGGTGAAAGAGGTTAACAGGGGCCAGCAACCCATTTATTACATAAGCAAAGTCCTACTTGATACAGAAACAAGTTACACTTTGGCAGAACAACTTGCCCTTGCACTGATAGTAGCGCCACGAAAACTTTGGCAATATTTTCAGTCACATCCTATTGTTGTGCTCACCAATCAGCCTCTAAAACACATTCTTCAGAAACCAGACATCTCAGGAAGATTACTAAGGTGGACAATTGAACTCGGAGAATTTGACATAGAGTTCAAGCCCCGTCCATCTATCAAAGCTCAAGCCTTAGCTGACTTCATTGCAGAACTCACTCTAAGGCCTCGGGGGCTAGATAGTAGCTCGAGCTCGAGCATAGCTATGTGGGAAATTTTAATAGATGGAGCATCGAACTCCTCGAGCTTGGGCGCAGGGGTCATAATCATAAGCCCGGACATGCTCATAAACATTCAGTGTGCACTAAGGTTCGAATTTGAGGCGAACAATAATAAAGCTGAGTATGAGGCCGTCATCATAGCTATGGAACTCGCCATAAATCTCGAGCTTGAAAATATCAAAATTTATAGTGATTCCCAGTTGGTGGTTGAGCAAATTGAAGGGACGTTCGATAGAAAGGATGAAAAGATGAGCTTATACTGCTTGAAAGTGCATGATCTCCAGAGAAAGTTTAAGAGTTGTAAAATTGTAAAAATTTCTTGGGCTGAGAATTGTAGGGCAGATACCTTGTCAAGATTGGTGTTCATGGGAATAGATGGGCTTCACAAGACAGTCCATGTCAGAATTGTAACCAAGCCAAGCATCAATCAGACCATAGGCGTCATGGATATTGATAATGAGCCATCATGGATGGACCCAATAGTGGACTTCATAAAACATGGTAGTCTTCCAGCAGATCCTCAGGCAGTGAGAAGCATCCGGTCCAAAGCTCTGAGGTATTGCATAATTGAAGGCATTTTATTTTGCAGGAGCCTCACACTTCCGTACCTCAAATGCCTTAGGCCTTCTGAATCATCCAAGGCCCTAGAAGAAGTTCACTAAGGTGTATGTAGGAACCATCAAGGAGCTCGGGCATTAGCCTTCAAGCTCATAAGGTATGGATATTATTGGCCAACCATGAAGAAAGACGCCCAGGAATATGTCAAGAAGTGTGACAAGTGCCAAAGATTTGGCAATGTCATCCACCCTCCCGCAGAAGACCTCACTAGCATTAGTTGCACAGCCCCATTTGAGCAGTGGGAAATTGACATCCTTGGTCCCTTTCCAATAAGTAGGGGACAATTGAAGTTTGTGGCTGTGGCTGTAGAGTATTTCACTAAGTGGGTAGAGGCCGAGCCTTTAGCAACAATTTCAGAGCCGAAGGTAAGAAGTTTCATTTGGAGATCCATCATATGCAGGTTCGGGATACCAGAAGTCCTCATAACTGATAATGGCAGGCAGTTTGACAATGCACAATTTAAAAACTTTTGTACCGACCTAGGTGTTGATCACTGTTTGACGTCGGTTTCCCATCCTCAAAGTAATGGTCTCGTCGAAGTGACCAATCGGATTATATTGCAAGACCTCCGTACAAGGATTGGCGATGCAAGAGGTTCCTGGTCTGACGAGTTGCCTTCCATACTTTGGATGTATAGGACGTCACACAGAACTGCTATAGGGGAAACCCCCTTCATGTTGGCTTTTGGAATTGAGGCCACCATCCCTGTTGAAGTCAGGTTGCCCAGCCAAAGGAGGCTCGAGCTCGAAGATGCAGGGCGCACCACTGAACACCTCGACCTCTTGGAAGAAGCTCGTGATAGGGCAGCTTTAAAAATGGCCTCCTACCAGGATAAAACAGCAAAGTACTTCAATAAAAAAGTAAGGATGCGGAGATTTAGAGCCGGAGACTTTGTGTTAAGAAGGGCTGAAGCAGTAGGTCATGCCCCGGGCAAGTTAGGGCTGGTTTGGGAAGGGCCCTTCGAAGTCATACGACAACTCCAAAGAGGTGCATTCAGTTTAAGGGATACGTCAGGAAGGCCGCTTCCAAGACCATGGAATGCCGAGAATTTAAAGATATATTACAAGTAACTTGGTCTTCCAGTTATCAGTAATCAGGCCTGCGCATCAAGGTTCACGTTTTCAATTGTCAGGCCTGCGTGCCAAGTTTTATTTTTCGGTAGTCAGGCCTGCGTGCCAAGGTTCACATTTTTAGTTGTCAGGCCTGCATGCCAAGTTTGTTTTTAAAGTATAATAAGAATTAAGCAATTCGTCAAAATATGATCTAGCTACGAAAATCCTTGCCCCACGCAAGCAACTCAAGCCTTGCCCCGCGCAAGCAATCAAAAAAGCCTTATCCCGCGCAAGCAACTAAAGCCTTGCCCCACGCTAGCAATCAAAAAAGTCTTGTCCCACGCAAGCAACTAAAGCCTTGCCCTGCGCAAGCAACTCAAGCCTTGCCCCGCGCAAGCACGTTAAGTAACATTCCCGATCACATAGTGCCCGATCAATGGTATCAGAGATCTTATAAAAGGCCATTTACAGTCCTCGAGAATCATGCTATAGGTTGATACAATTACGTCGTCATGCATGCTCGAGCTCAACACATAATGTTCATAAATGATTTTACAAATTGAGTCCTCAAGATAACTTGTCTACATGCTTGAGTTCAACACTTAATGTTCATAAATGATTTTACAAATTGAGTTCTCGAGATAACTATGTACATGCTTTAATGTTCATAAATGATTTTACAAATTGAGTCCTCGAGATAACTATGTGTATGCTCGAGCTCAACACATAATGTTCATAAATGATTTTACAAATTGAGTCCTCGAGATAACTTGTCTACATGCTCGAGTTCAACACTTGATGTTCATAAATGATTTTACAAATTGAGTCCTCGAGATATTTAATTAATCTAGGCGTCGCATTGTCAATTCACCCTAGGCGTCGAGATATTTAATTAATCTAGGCGTCGAGTTGTCAATTCATCTTAGGCGTCAAGTTATTGAATCATCTTAACGTCGAGCTATTTGAGTTTGTCATGATCTTTCATCAGCCATACATGATCGCGCAAAATGAAAAATACTTGATCGAGCAAAATACCATAAATGGAACATTATCTAAGATCGAGCAGAATACGTGTTCAAAATACAAAATTAGAGGGATGTCATCATGAGAAAAAACATAAACTAATCTAGGTCCTCGGCTCTTTCTCCCGAGGCCGTGCTCCCTGGCTCTTCCGCCGCGTCCTCGCCTTCAATATCGACCTCATGGTCCTCAACGGTTTCCTCGGACTCTGAAAGCTCGAGGTCATTAGCGACCTCAGGGATGCTCTTTAAATCCTCAGGTTTGGCGTCAGGCTTCGACCTCAAAAATGCCCGAGCCTCTTTGAAAGCGTGGAAGTACGAGCCCATGGTGTACTCTCCCTTAACCCCGTTGAACTCCTCTGACATTTTGAAGTCCTCGATCGCAACCCCTCGAGCTTCAGCCAGGCGAGTTTTGAAATCAATCTTCAAACGCTCGATCTCAAGCTTTAAATCCTCGGCCTCGCCCTTGGCAACTCCAGCCTCTTCCCTAGCTCTCTAGACGTCGTTCTTCGAGTCCTCGAGCTCCCTCTGGAGAAGGAAGTGCTCAGCTTCCAGGTCGGCTATCCTCTTCTCATGTGCTCGAGAAGTGTCCTCGAGCTCAGTAGTTTTTTATGCCACATCTTTCCCCTTCAGAGAAAGGCCTCGAGCAATGCTCAGAGCCTGCGTCATATAAACCTAAGCTTAAGCGAACACATCATATAAACCCATAAATTACACCAAGTAAGTTGAGCGAGCTTACCTTCAGTGTGAGAGATTCAAGAGCCTTCATACCCTCATCAAAATCGAGGTCCTTTCGATACTTGTCCACGATGCTGGACACCAGGGGACACCAGTCAGGATCTTGATTTTGGAACGAGGGCATAGGTGGGACCTCATCCTCGAGGTCAACAACCTCGGGAGTACTCCTTGGCTGAGGACTTAACCGAGGTGGGGCAGTTGGAGTCTCATTGGTCTGTATGGTCGGGGATTGTCCCGGGGCAGAAGGTTTCCCTGGCCCACTCCTAATATTCTCGGGGCCTGAATCTCAAGCTCTCTTCTTATCTCTCTTTTGACCTAGAGCTCGAGCTTGAGGGGCCTTCGACCTTTTGTTCACGGCCTGTTTGAGGGCTAGAGGATCAAAAGTCATCTCTGCAAAAAATAAGTCATTAACATGAGCACAATTATACGTTCAAAGACAGATCAGTATGGAAGAAGGCAAAAAGATGATCCCTACCCTCAATACCTTTCACATCCGCGAGATCGAGAACGTCATCCCCGAGGATGTCATCTATATCATATACAAGAGGCTCGAGGTTCTCTAACATCATCCTATGCTTTTCTAAAGACTCAAAATAGGTCTGGCCTTCACAAAACCTGGGAGTGTCGGGCGAAATCTACCTAGGACTAAAAGGAAGGTCACTATCTTGAGCTACGATATAAAACCACTTTTCTTTCCATCCTTTCAATGAACTGGGCATCCTCGGTAATCTAAAGCCTCCTCGGGATAAAAGATAAGCAAAACAAGTATATTGAGGTAGATGTTTCAGGTCGAAGACCATTCTACAGAGATCGATGTATGGGTTAATTCCTAGGTATCTACAGGCTATAAAAAATAGGTGAACATCCACCACCCATTTGGCACGAGCTGTCCAGGGCTCATGTTATGCTCAACCAATAAAGACACAAAAAAGGGGATACAGAGGCCATCTAAATCCCCCCTTTAGTGAGTCCCTAAAATTCACGAACTCTCCATCCTGAGCAAAGCCCATCCTATCCTCTTTCCCTAGCGTCCTAACATCACATTTCAGCATGAGCCCATGCTCCCTAGCCGTCGATATTGCTAGATGCTCTTTAAATTTACAAGGAACCTCGGGGTACCTAAATGGGGTCGAGATACTTTGTGCCCGAGGTTGGGCATTAATTGGGGCGGCCATAGGTATGATCGAGCATCCCATGTCCTCGGGAGTACTCATCGAGGAGGAGGACAAAGACTCACTACTACTACTACTAGACATCCTGACCTAGGTAAAAAAGTGCCTAAAGAATAACTTAAAAACTCGAGGTCTTACCTTAAAGTTGACGCCTAAAAATACAAAGTTCTGATCCTGACGATTAGCAAGAGAAGTTTATTGAGAATAAAAAGTGAAAAATGAAATGTGGAGAGGGTATTTATAGGCAACAGGAGCGGGTAGTCCAAAGGTCACTACCCCGCCCGTCAGGTCTGGCCACGTATCCTACATCCACCCCCTACCATTTTTATCGCCTTTTCCTATTTAGGGCTTACCTCATTACACGTCAGCCCTTTTGAACACCTGTCATCAAAAATGTACTCGACCAAAATGCCCGAGCTTTTATTTCCAATCTCTTTGCATCATATCCTCGAGTGAAGGCTTCGAGCAAATATGCACGGGGGCCAATGATAGTGACATTCCCAGCAACCCGATCACAAAATTATCCTGACGACTATTTTTGACGAACTTATAACTCCAACTATGGGAGTCCTCGAGCATATGGCGACCTCTTGACATTATGCCCGACCACATCCCGCCTAGTTGCTTCGCATATTGCAATACTTGTCCTCGAGCATATGCTCCCCTCACAACCTACGATTGTTGACCCTTTAGAATTCCTACGCAATTAGGACTCTTGACTCCCGCAAGGATTCTATCCCACATATAATTATGGAATTTGGCCAACTCCTTAACTATTTAGAACTCCAACAGATAAGGACATCTAGCTAGTAGAGTCCCACTAGGAGAATGTCGCTTACTACTATAAATACAGAACCCTGAGTCATTATTCAGGTACGTTTTTCATTGTTCTCCAGCATATAGTCTCACGCATATAATTCCCTTTCTCACTTAAACATCGAAGGGGCGATGAGAACACACCTCGTTGCCTTTACTTCAGGTACCGAAAGACTACGATCGTAATCAACCCGAATCATCAACCTCGGGAAATCTGCAGGTACGAGTTTTGGTAGCATCAGTAATA